TAAGTAATTTAACCCTTCAGCAATTTGAAATGCTAATTTTTTCTTATCATTCCAAGTTAAATTTTTAAAATTCTTTTTAAGATAATTTTGAAGATCACCATCATTAGCATATTGCATTATAAGAAGATAATCTTCGTGATCTATAAAAAATATAAAGAATAAAATTATTATAATAATAAATGAAAATGTTAAATTTAAATAAATCAATTATAATTACCTTTACTAATACCAAAACAGCGAATAATTCGATCACTATGATCAAGATGTAAATGGATTTGTAATTCATGAATAAAGGCATCTAATATATTACTTTTAATAGATTTTATATTAGTTAACTTTTTATAAATAATAGGAATTCCTGTTTTAATCCAAGTTGCTTTCATAATAGATCCAAATCCTCCATTAGTAAGTTGTTTTGGATTTATTAATTGATTAAATGGTATAAATTTAATTTTTTCACTTTTTAATGCATTTTCTATCCATTTACTAGCATTATTCTTATAAAAATTGTCACATTTTATATCTTAATCCATTAAAAAACAAATTTATATATTAGTAAATGCTATTTTATATTATAATGTATAATAAATACTAATAATTACTTACTATCTGTAATTTTAAATTAGATTAATAACAAATTTATTTATGTATATATGGACACATTGTAGTAAAAAGGAAAGAAACTACCAAAAAAAATTTTTTACATTATAAACTAAATATTATTTTCTTAATAAAATAAATTCAGATTTAATATTAACTCAAAAAAAATATTTTTGATAATTTCCTCCTTTTTTACTGCAAAGTATTCATATTATAAAATAAAATAAAATAAAATAATATAAATATTAAAATTTATATATTCAATTATATATTTAAATTACTTACTTATTTCATTATTTATAATATTTAAAGTTTCTATTAAATAAAAATTTATATTAAATTAAAGAAATTATTAAATCATATTTATATATTAAATTATTAATTATATTTATATATTATAATAATTACCAATATTTTGACTAATTTCTAAATTTTGAATTTTAAGATCTAAATTTTCATTTAATCTTTCAGTAAAATCAAGTAAATGACTTGTATAAAATACTTGTGGATGATCTTTCATATCATTTAAATTATTATTTCGATTATATTTTAATGCTTTATCTGCTTTATAAAAATCTACAATATCATCTTTTAAATCTTTATCGAAATCTTTACTTATAATATTTATAATCCAATTATTAATAATCTTTTTAATTTCTAATGCTATAGGCCTTTTTAATGGATTTATATCCTAACATTTTTCCATTAAATTTATATAACATTTAGGAACATTTTCAATAATTTTAGGGCGTTTACCTTTACAAATATTTAAACTAAGTTGAAAATTATAAGCTTCATTATTAAATGGAGGAACTCCTGATATTAATTCCCACATAATCATAGAAAAACTATATATATCAC